CCTGAGAGGGGTGTTTATTTTTCTTTCCTCATTATATTTATTGTCGGGTTGTGGTGGGGGTCACGTGACCTCCCGTGGAGCTTCTGGAGAGCCGAGGGAGCGCGCCCGCTTCGTTCACGCGCGGCTCTCTGGCAGAGGAGGGCGGGGCTACTGTGAAAGGTCCGGGAGCGCGCGCTGGGAAGGAGGTAGAGGCTCGTTCCCTGACATACAGCGGTGCTGAATAATGTGACTGTGTGCGCGTGCACGAGGCCTAACGGGCTCCCTGATAGAGGTGCACTGTGCCGGGGTATGGAGATCGCTCACTAGCTGCTATGGGAGGGTAACAACCTCAGTGAGACCGACCTGGGCCCACTGAATCGTTCCAAAACCTTCAATGCCCAATCGGTAAAAAAAAAAAAGTTAAAGCAAGGGAATGCAAAATATAGTAATGGCCCCCACAGGTGTCGGTGGAATAGTGGCTGCAAGGAGGGACTAGACCCCCAAATCATCTGCAGGATGGTGACCCCCAAATGCCTGGAATAACCCCCTCACATCCTTGTCATTCGGGTTGGGGGCACCCAGAAGGCAGTCGTCTCCAGATCCTTGGTGTCATTGGAATGGGGGCACCCAGGGGGGAATAGTCTCTAGATCCTTGGTGTCATTCGGATGGGGGCACCCAGGAGAGAGTAGTCTCCAGATCAGTGGGATAGTGACAACTAGGGGAGAATACTTCCAAAATAATTGTCAGTCAGATCATGGCGTCCAAAGAAAATAGACCTTCAGATTATTGTTGTTGGGGAGAATGGCCCCTTAACTAATGTCAGTCTACCCTGGGCCCCCAGGGTAGACTGCCCCCAAAGTCAGTAATGGTACTTCAACATCAGAGGGACAGTAGCCTCCAAAATCATTGTTGTCTGTGGGAATGTGACCTCCAGGGAAAAATAGTCCTTCAAGTTATTGGTGTCGGTGGGATAGTGAACATCAGCGGGGAATGGCCCCCTTTATTCATTGGTGTCAGTAGAATAGTGGGCGCCATGGTTGACTTCCCCCTCTACAACCTCCTCCCCAGGTCAGTGATGGTACTTGTTTTAGGACCAGAGCCAGCGCTGATGAGGACTGACAATCATGTGCTCTGCCCTCTAGTGTCTTTTTCTAATGGCATCTTTCTGTGTGCAGGCTTTTTCAGTGACGGAGCAGGCAGTGGCCCAACCATAGGATCCTCTGGTGTGATGGCAGTAGTTGTCATAGCAGGCAGGAAGCTGCACCCCAACATAAGGGTGATCACAGCCTTGTAGCCATTTAAAGTGAATTTTGTCACCAGCCTCCCACCCCTTTGTTTACATGGGACAGGGAATGCTCCTTGATACCCAGTTCCCAGTCCCTGTCTGACCAAACCCGAGCTCATCCCTAACTTTTACCCGAGGGTGCCCAGGACAGCTTTCTCTTTGGGAAAGGTATCTGCCCGTGCGTGCCCGCTAGGGGGCGCGCACGAGCAGAAAAAAATTGCCGTCTGGAGACGGCAACCCGCAAATGCTGCAGTGCCGTCCGTCCGTTTTTTTACTACGGGCGGACGGCAAGTGTTTAAAGCATATCTAAACCTGTCAACAAAAATAGAATATATTGCAGCATACCAGTCCTTTGATGTGGAGCATGCATTAATTTTCTCTTTGTAGTTTAAGAAAATGTTTTAAACATTTACAGAAAATGTCTGCTGATCCTGCCAAAAATGCAATGCCCTTGTCACTTCCTGTGAGATGCAAAGAAAACACTTTTACCTCTGCTGTGTAATTCCTAATCCCATTAATCCAACATGACTTGGAGGTGAACAGAAGCAGACATGTTTGAAGTCCAGCCTGTGTGGCAACCATGGCTCCCCCCATAGATGCAGTGGGGGAGTGAGAGTAGACACAGAGAGGCACAGGAAGTGTGTTATTTGCAGGATCACCAGGTGAAAATGAAGGATAAAAAGCCCAAACAAAAGAAAACGAATGCAGCCACCACATCCAAGGACTGGTAAGCTGCAATATATTACATCTTTGTTTTTGGGTTTAGATACGCTTTAAATCTTAGTCACATTTTTTTATGGGTCGATGTAAACAGGGTGTTATCAAAGGCTGTGTATGTTGCATTCAGATTGTGTCTGCTCACCTGTGTCTATGTTTTAAACACAAGCAGCGCTTTACAATATAAGGAAGACAATACAATACAAGACAAGATGGTAAGGAGGTCCCTGCCCCTGAGGGCTTACAATCTAAGGCTCTGTTCACACCTGGGTGTATCGAATATGCGCGTGACGCGCGTTTTTCGTGATGCAATTCGCCGTTAAAAAAAAGGGCTACTTGGCTGTATCCCAATGGAAACACTCGACAAAAATGCCGCAAAGAAGCTCCTGTACCTTTTCAGGCGTAGGCCGTTTTGTAGCGCGTTCAGACGGGCTGAAACACGGCAAGGTGTGAACCATACCCATAGAAAACAATGGGATTTTCATGTTTGAGCGTTTTGTAGAGCGTTGAACTCGCAACAAAACGTACAGGTGTGAACCAGGCCTTAAAGGGAGGGGTAAATGATACATGAGGAGGTAGCTGTGTGGGGATGAATTGTTTGAGAACGTAATGGTTGAGTGGTTAGGTTGAGGTGGGATAGGCTTCCCTGAAGAGATGAGTCTTAAGGGATCGCCTAAAGGCAGTCAGAGTGGGAGATAGATGGACAGGTTGGGGTAAAGAGTTCCAGAGGATGGGAGAGATTCTAGTGAAGTCATGGAGGCGAGCATGGGAGGAGTTGACAAGGGAGCTTGAAAGCAGAAGGTCTTGGGACGAACGTAGGGGACGGTTAGGGTGATACTTTGAGACAAGGTTGGAGATATAGCCGGGGGCAGAGTTGTGGATGGCTTTGTAAGTCATTGTTAATATTTTGAATGTTATCCATTGGGCTATTGGAAGCCAGTTTATATATCAGCTATGTATATAGCAGTGTGCTAGGAGTTCAAATTTAGCTCCCCCAAAAATACCACATTTTGCACTCCCCTCATTGTAGGATCTTTGTTTTGCTGATTGGGGGGATACGACAGCTGAAGCTAATGCAAGTCAGTGACTCACTGATGAAAAGCAGATGCACAACCGGCAACTACAGTGTGAACATGACCTAATTGTATTCATTCGGCAAGAAAGCGTCGTTCCTTTTGTTTATTTTTTTTCCCGATTGCATGTATTAAATGAATCTCACGTCAGTAAATACACGCACCCTTTGAATATGTCATGGTTTATCCTTTGTACTAGAGCTGCAGCTAACGATTATTTTCAAAATCGATTAGTTAGACGATTATTAAGTTCGATTAATCGGATAAAAAATAAATGTAAAAAAATGGCTCCAGTGATGGGACTACTAGTTTGTATTGAGATTGTAGTCCATCACAGGAGCAAGCTTGGAGCGGTAGAAGTAAAAAAGAAAAAAAAATGTGTGGTGTGCAATACAGTGAAATGAAAAGTGTAAAATTACAAAACCCAGCAATAGTACATTATACAGCACAATGCAGAATACCACCAGCTATAATGTACTATTGCTGGGTTTTGTAGGCCTATATAGCTGGTGGAATTCTGCATTGCACTGTATAATTGCTGGGATTTGTAGTCCTCTATACAGTGCAATCCAGAATACCACCAGCTATATAGGAGTACAACAAATCCCAGCAATACATTATACAAACAAATGTACTGCTGGGATTTGTATTCCTCTACAGCTGATGGTATATTGCTCTGTATAATATACAGTACAGCAGAATGCACGATCAGCTATAGAGGAATACTAATCCCACTATCCCAGCCATACATTATAGAGCGCCATGTGGGGGGAAAGTGCAGGCTTACCTGAGCAGTCTTCCAGCAACTTGTTTCTGAGATCGGGCCTGTCTATGGTCAGCTGTCATCCGCCCACACCTGCTCCTCCTTACTTCTTCTCCCCACGTCCCTGTGGTGATCGTGGATGTGGGCGGGCGAGGAGGAGGTGCGGTGTGGATGCGGCCAGGCGGGTCTGGCAGCGGCGAGCGTGAGGTGGGGAGGAGGTGTGGAGCCGTGAACAGGGCCAACCAATCGGAAGTTGACAACTTTTTCAATAATCGATTATGTCGATTAGTTGTTGCAGCCCTACTCTATACCCCCTTGTGCAGGTTTACTTATCCCAAATTCTCCTTGGCATGTGTACATTTATATAGGTACCACGTAGCTGTTTCCTAAACAATGAATTGTATGCTGAATTCAATACAGAAATCTGTTTTACAGAAGCTTTATTATTGACCAAAACCTTAAATTGGTATTTTGGAGTTGATTTGACAGACAGGAGGATCAGTTTGATTGCTGGTTAGGATTTGTCCTGGTACAAATCCCAGGAACTAGGTAGCATGCTCCTTAAAGATGTCAGCTGGTGTCTAACTTTTGAGCTTTAAGGTGCCCATACACCTTACGACCATCGCAAGACTTTTGTCTTGCGATGGTCGTATGCTTATTGAAAGCTCGTACGATCTGCCCACCTTGGACGGGCAGATCGTACTTTCGATCATCGA